CCATAACCAGCTGAGTTCTTATGATATTCCTGCGGCCCGCAGCAACCTGTCCTGTCAGAATCTGTGTTTCCTCACCTGTAAGACATGGAGTCCCACAGAATTCAAGGAGAGATCAAGCATATGGAAATGCAAAGCATGGTACCTGATGCTTAGGAAGCTGTTACAGTGAGGGAAATGACTGGGTCTGAGGATATAGGGAAAGATAGACCTGGATTTAGTCCATCCAAGCTTGGGCATACCACTGTGAGAACTTCCATTCTCCACCTGTGAGGTGAGTACAATGATTGGGAATACAAAGGCTTTCTAGAGTACGGGGTTCAAAACTTGACACTACGAGAGCCGCAGTCATTTGTTTTCTTCACAGTTGGTAATCACAGTGGATGGCAGAGTGTGGGAAATTGAAAGGTGGAGTCCTGCCTTAGGTCTGGCTGACTGGAAGCAGCAAAAGCAGTAGGAGATAGCCTCAACTTCCAGCCTAGGCTTTAAGGCTCTGAAATCAAGGTATTTTCAAGGTCACGTTCACTGGAGAATCTTTCTTTGCATCTGTCTCTGGTAGCTGCCAGCAGCTCTCAGCTTATGGCTGCATCTCTCGTTCCATGGCCATGTCACCTTACCCTTCATCTACCCGTGTCTTCACCATTTATCTCTCTGCTTCTCTTGTAAGGACACTCAGGATAACTCTTAGGGATTGTAGTAGTTGGTCTTTTTGTCACTGTGATGAAACACCAAAAGCAACCTGGGAAAGAACGGATTTATTTGTCATGTCGTACTCCATCACTGAGGGAAACCAGAGCAGCTAAAGGTAGGGACCTGGAGGCAGGAACTGGAGCAGAAGCCACGGGGGGGGGGGGGGGGGAGGCTGCTTACCAGGTTATTCCTTCTGGCTTGCTCAGCCTGCTTTCTTATAGCACCCAGGACCATCTGATCAGAGATAGAACAGCCCACAGATGCCTGGGCCCTCCCACACCAATAGTCAATCAAGATAGTACCCATAATACCTGGCAGACATGCCCACAGGCCATTGTGATGGGGCAATTCCTCAGTTAGGGTTGCCTCTTCCAAAGTTCTCTAGTTTGATTCAAGTTGACAAAAACTGCCCAGTGCAGGGTCCATCCAGATAATCTGGAAAAACTCTCCTTGTCTCAAGATCTTAAACCACATCTGCAAAAATGTTACCATGCCAGGCAACATTAGAATATTTAAGGGATGGATTCTTACTACCTTTGGGAGCCTCCATTCAGCCTACGTCATTTTATGGATCTCATGGAAAGCATTGCAGCGTGACCTGTCTCCGGGTTTGTGCACTGATCCCCTGCACAATGCTGCTTCCTCTGAACTGCTGTTCATAGGTGGTTTTAAGGATTTAATGAGGCACTGTGGAGAAAGCACTTAGCCTGGTGGGGAGAAGGAATGGTGCCATGGGGAAAGGTGGGGGACTCAGGAGAAAGGTGGGGGAGACTCAGGGCGCTAGGAAGGGAGGTAGAATGAGTCTCAAGGATGCCTATTGTGCACAACAACCTGGGACTAAAGAAACTGTGGCTTTTGAAAATCCCCATGGTCAAATCCAAACTGTAGCTGTGTGATGTGTGCGTGAAGTTCCCTTTCTCTCTGGAACTCTAGGAACTCATTGATTATTGTTCACCCAAAAGCCCCAAACCAGCCAAGTTACATCACAAGATGCAACTCAGCCCTCCTCCTGACTCCTTGCCTGGGTAGTACCCTGCTCTGGCTTCTGGGGTCCTGAGGCTTTTGCCAGGAGGAAGTGACTTCAGCCATAGGTGCTAAGCCACACAAATGAGACTGGCACCTTAGCACAGGAAGTCCCTCTTGGCCTCTTCATCTGCTCTACCATATGCTCTGCAGGCTTGGGACCTGGCGTCCTTAGCCGAGAGCAATGTCCTTTCTGATGTGATTTTGTGGCTATGTTTCCGATGACTAAGGACTCCTGGAGGTCAAACACAAACCAAAGGCTTTGGGGTCCTTGACTTCCAGGCCAGATGTTGCCTTTACATTAATGCACAGCATTTCAGCAGAGGGATTGTCTGTCCTGCTCACCACTTAGTGTTGCCACCGCAGCCACCCAGGGAGGCTTGTGCTCCAGATAGCAAGGGCAACAGTGAACCTCAAAATCATTCCTAGGGTTAGCACTTGGGACTACTTGGACTCATGATGACTATGTGGACCTGAGGTCCTTGAGACAATGAATTTGAGTGGACTAATGGGTGACTCTGAGCTGGCTGGGGAACACAGCTGCTCTGGTAAAGGAATCTGGCTTAGCTCCAGAGAATACCTGCTAGTCTGAACAACATGGAACACTCAACTGCAGATTGTGTAGCAACCTACATCCAGGAGCACAAGTGTGTACTCCCTCCACAAGTGAATGTGAACTGCTCCTTTACACTATGGTAGGGAGTGTGTGCAGGGGGTGCTTACATCTTTAGAATTCATTATATTGGGCATTATTAGATATTTTCCTAAATATGACATTCATTTTTTATGTACTGAGGTGGGCTGCTTTGGGGTCATGGCAGGTTTTCCAGACCAAGTACACCATGGTACATACCAGCAGGTATCTTGAACAAGCAGGAAAGGGATCAATAGTGTTGGTTAATGAGAAAGCACATACAATATGCCACCTGTAGTGTTATGAGTATTTATTAATGACTTGTTGGAGTAAGAAGATTTCCAATCAACAGCCAACCAGAGAACAAGTCAATGCCAGGATTTGAATGGGCACTAACTATATCAAAAGGGGGTGGAGCATCCGAAAGTCAAGCAGACACCAGGCTAGAGATGTAGCTAACTGATAGAGCACTTGATGGCACTTGTGAGGTATTGGATTCAATCTCAAGTAGCAAGAAAAACAAAAGCCCATTCATTGGGCATGTTGGTGCATGCCTACACTCCTAGCAGTGGGAAGTGGAGGAAGGAAGATCATAGACCCAAGGTCATGGCTAGAGAAAACAGCTGAGCAGTGAGATCAACGGCTGCTCCTCCAGAGGAGCAGAGCTCAATTTCAAGTGCCCACATGATGGCTCACAACCACAACTGTCTGTCACTCCAGTCCCAGGGCATCCAACACCCTCTTCTGGCACTGGCAGCACCAGGCACACATGTGTTGCATAGACACACATGGAGGCAAAGCACCCATGCACATAAAAATAAACAAACTTTTTTCAAAAAGGAATCCAAGGTCGCAAAGCATTGTGAGGCCAAAAGACAGCATCAATAACAAAAAATGACAAACGAACAAAAACAAAAAAAAATTAAAACCTCAAAAAAATACCACTGAATTCATTTCATGTTGGCC